AAGATCTTGCAGGGAGGGAACGATTGCTTCACACACTGTGCGGTCGTTTCCACTCCGAACCCGTTTCTTTGTATTGTTGATTCCTTGTTGGGTGCCTTTCCTTTGGCCCCTGCGCTGGCACTATGGCTTTCGCGCTTTGTTGTTGGCTCTGACAGTTCCGGCTGGATGCTGTCGGCTCTCGGCAATCCTTGTGGATTCTGCCGATGAAACTCTTGCTGCTGCGTCGTCGACCGATACTCGCGTCGTCGTCGGCTGCCGTCGAAACTCTTCGTCGGCTTGGATGCAGTCTCCTCTCGATCCGTCCTCGGATCTTCACTCGTTGCTGTCGTTCGTTCGACAGGCTTCTTCTCTTCGGTCTTGTACCGATGCCGTCGTCGTCGACGGTCTTCTTCTGTTGCTGTCGATGCTTCGACAGGCTTGGTCTCTATCGATCTTCTTCTCGTGTCGCGATCGGCAATCGGCCGATACTCGTGCTACCGTTCGTTGCTTCGATAGGCTCCTCTTCGCTGCTTCGACTCGATAGTAGACCACTGCTATTCGTGATAGCAGCCTTTTTCAGTAGTATGTTAGTTGCTCTAAGCTCTCTTCTAGTTTCCTTGCTATTGAGATACTACTGAAAAAGTGGGTGGGCTCTGTATTTCTACTGTGAAATTCTAGTACAGAGGTACAGGGGTTGAATCCCTAGTCGCGAATCCCCAACACCATCCACTGCGCCCACTGGGGTTCTCGACGAGCTTTTGGAGAGTCTACCTGAATACACCACTGCTAGCATGAACAATGGCAGTAACACTCCTCAGTGGCAAGCATGGCAATGGCTTGCAAACCATCAGAACATTACATTTCTTCCTGAATGGAGGAAGGAGCAGCTGTTTGCTCTGGCCACCTTCTTCTATGCCTTTGAGGGAGAGAATTGGAACCCTATCATCCAGGATCGATGGATGGATGACACAAAGGAAGAGTGTCAATGGTTCTCCAGTGGATTTGGTTTCTTGGATCTGGATGGCACATATGTCGAACTTCGAGATTTCGGTGTCGAACCTACGTTCCCATGCAACAGCCATGGAAAATTTACATCCCTTTTTCTGGAAGATCAAGACCTTTCTGGTCTCTCCCCATTTATTCCACCAGAGATTGCACTGTTGACCTCCTTGTCTATCCTTCATTTGGGTGCCAATGGTATTGCTGGACCAATTTCATCATTGTTGCCCACTGAACTCTACAGGATGACTAGTTTGACTAGTATTAGCCTCTGGGATAATCCGGAATTGACTGGAAACATTCCTTCCGAGCTTGGGTTGTTGACTGATCATTTGACTTGGCTGGGATTGACAGTAACTGGTTTGACCGGCACCATCCCGGAGGAACTCTGTTTTGTCCCAGATCTGCAGTTTGACTGTACCCCTGATTTGTGTGGATGTGACTGTGGCTGTTGGCCTGCTGGAGACTTCCCAACCACAGCCTCTGCTGCTGTTGTCAACAACCGCACGCATGATAAATATCCGGTGGCTCCGTTGGCTAAGGGTGGATCACTCTGACGACAGCAATTGTCTCTGTGTTGTATATTCATATATGGGTTCATGCACCTCGGATTTCTCTGGGCTTTCACCGTTGACATTTTGGATGGAGTCAATTGCACTTTTGACATCACAAGTATTCCCCCGGGAAGTGGCATGGTTGCTCTTGTCATGTTCGGCATGATGTGAGGCGGGAGTCCTTACCATCAAGTACCGAAGAAGAGGACTGAGGAGAAACTCCGAGCAGTCGCCTTTCTCTATCAGCTCCTCCGGCCAGAGAAAAAGATGAAACCACCACCGCATTGGCCCTGCTAGCTAGGGGCGCGGAAGGTGGAGGGGAAGAAGGTGGGTGCATGCTTTGAGTTGTATTGTCGTTCAGTGTTTATTTTACATGCTTGCAGGCTTCTGGCCACTAGGGTTGAGTGCGGAAGATTACGAGCGAATGTGTGCCTGCAAGACTGGCAGCGCACAGAAAGTAGCTGTTAAAGCTTTCATCACCGTTACATTAAAGGTCACTTCTTACGATTCACGTCGTACATTCCGATTGTTCAATGTCGGTTGCGGGTTTGAAGAAGGGCTTTAATATTGATCGTGTGATGTTACAGTCTCACTATTAGACGAACCCGTGCTCTTTGGCGGGCATGCTCTTAAACAAAAGAATGAAACAACCAGTCAATAAGTGTTCGTACCGGAACACACGGTGAGGAGTGTGCAAGGAAGAGAAGGGGCTTAAGCTACGACTAGAATTACTTAAATGGATTTCTTGTCTTGGCGAAGGTTGGGGCAATCCCTCTTATCAAACAAGATGAATGAGCTTCTTCTTCCAATGCAAGTCTCTTTCTTTTTCTTTACATTGTACGAGCGTGTGAAGAAGTGAAGCCCGCAGCCGGATGATGATGTTGGTTGATGCTTGTGTGCAGGTTCCCAAGCACCATTCCTACCGGTACGTTGTACCGGTCGCATCTATTCTCTCTCTGTGTGTGTGTCTCATCTTTCAATCACAAACCACAAGACCTACCTTGGACCTTACCTTCCGGTTTTGCTGTTTCCTTTCTTGTGTTGGCTGGTGTAACATACCATTCCATCCATCCTCATTCCATTCCTTCCGTGGCGTTGAATCGTATCGTTGAAAGCAAGAACCAAGATGAAGTTGTTGGGTCGTAATAAGAGTTCCTTCCAGAACCAGTGGACTACTGGCAGTGTGAGTAGCAGGAGTAGTAGTGTGCCCTCTTGTGTGGTGGTACCACCTGATGACCAAGATGACACTGAAGTGGATCCTTGGTGTCCCGACAATTTTGGTGCCATGTCCAAACTGTGGCAATTGAGCGACGAGGAGGAAATTCAAATGCGCGAACTCCAAGATCAATTGTCCGACGTAGATCATTGGAAGAATGATCCGTTTGAAGTCGTACGATTCTACAAGCACTACCAAGGCAATCTCCGGAAGGCAGAAGACAAGTTCCGCAAAATGGTCTTTTGGCGGTGGCAACATCACATTGATTCCCTTATTACTTCTGGGGCCAAGCCCCTCGGGGACTGTTTCCCGGCATCCGTACTGCGTGGCTACGACAAGGACGGAGATCCCATTTACTTCCAACGCACCGCGGACGGCGCTTTCCAAGACACGCAAGGCATGATGGACTACATTACGCACCAACGAGAGCGAGATTTGACACGACGACCAAGAGGTGGTTGGCAACGAGACGTGTACGAACGCGAAATGGGACGACGTGTGGCACGCATGACCGTCGTGATCGATTTGCAAGGTTTCCAACGGGATCATTGGCCCCTCCTCCAAGCACATCTCACGCAAGAGTACTACGTTGGAGTCGCCAAGCGGATTCTCCTGGTACGAGCACCACCGCTATTCAAGGCCATGTGGCGTCTGAAGCGACATTTCTTGGATCCGGCCATGGTCAAATTGGTCACGTCCACCGGCCAACACGTGCTCGAACAGTATATCGATCCACAAGTACTCCCTCCTTCTTTGGGAGGCAGTGGCGGGGTCATGCCCGAATATGAGCGTGTTGTCCAACAACAACGGGGAGCCCCCTTTTCCAAACACTTGCACAAATTGTCCTCGTCGGAAACCGATGCGACGTCCCTCGCCGATTACAGTAGTACCCTGTCCCTGCTGGATACTCAACCCCAACACCAAGACGGAGTGGGTGGTCTCATTATTGGAGGAGGATCCTTTAGTTCCGAAACAAACAAGGTCACGCTCATCCAGTCGACTGCAGGTACAACAGCTTGCTAAAGGAAAGAAACGCAAACATACATTCATTGGCCCATCATGCTAGCTACCGGTCCAGGGCCAGCAAAAAGCTGTGCTACTATTACGTTGTTGTAATGACTATTGTAACTTTCGCCCTTGCATTCCTCCATCTGCTCCTACATCTATTTTTTCTATTCTGTAGCTATACATGGTTCCATCCACACCCTGTCTTGGCTGGCTATGCGGAAAGCAACCCCACGCAACGCATTACCTACCATATCCAGCCCAAAGCTTTCCTCCTTGGCAAAAATAGATCCAGTTGACTGACACTTACTTTGTGTTTAGATGATCCTGCGAGGGCACGTTTTGGTTTTGGTTCTCTTTTAGATGATCCTGGAAGGCTGGCTTGATCCATTTTTTTTGTTTGCACGGTCGCACTTCCTGTTCCAGCCAGGATCTCCTCGTCATCAATGCAGGTCAGCCTAACAAAAGCAAACCATCACCTCGTGGCTCGACCACAGCCATGCAGAATAACTGTAACCATATTGGAGTTGCGCCCACACAACGCCGCTCTTTTGCTCAGTTTAGTAGCTGAGGGGTGGCTGCATGGCTGGGAGCTGGACGCCTCTACAAATCAGCACTCGAGGACCGCGTCCTCACTCCTGAGTTGGGTGTGCAACAAGCTGCCGCTGCCGCCGAGGCTTTGGAACGGGCAGGTGAGGTGCGGTGTCATTGCTTTGTTTCGATGAGATACGGTTCCATGGTACGGTAAAGGTACCGTACTATAATAGTACCACTACACGACGGTACATGTACCAGTACGACCCGTAAAAGGTACCATATTCTTAGCTATTTGCAGGAATGCTCGTTGGCTTGGGTCCTTGTCCTTGCTTTGCTTCTTACTATTTTAAAATAGCGTACAGTCGTACCAAGAGGACTTGTGCCCCGTCCTCGGGCCGGTGCCTAGCTAGCTAGTAGCGCAGCCTCCCAAGCCTCTATCATACGGTTACATCGTAGCTATTCATGGTTCCAAGGCATGCCGAGACGCTGGGGTCTTCAAGCTTCAATATGTACCGTAGCCAACCTCTATACATAAGACGGCCGCTGCGAACTTCGAACGGTCGGTTTGTCTACACCTTTGCTTGGCATGGCATTATTACTCGCGGCGCTGCAACCAACCTTTGTGGTTGCCACGGTAAAGCTAGCTACTAGCTAGTGCACAAAGACTATGTATCGCATTCGACAGATTGCGGACGAAAGTATCCAACAAACGTGTTCCCATGGCCTAAAAACACGAGTCAATTTTGATCTCGACTTCTCATATCAACAAACAATGTACCAGTAGGCCTGGACGCAACAGAGCGAACGCACTGTGTTACCATACCTGCTGCAACAGCAACAGACCACCATATTCATTCGATCCTAGCAGAAACACAACAAAGGCACCAGCGCCAATCATGCCGTCATCAACGTTGCAATGTGGCCTCGTCCAAGCCCTTGTTTTGTGGCCATTCCTCCTCCTGCTACTGCCGCGCATCACCCAAGGCAAATCGGTGTTTTCCGTGATCCGAGACGTAACCGAGCTGAGCAACTTCACACGGGCTTTGCAGCTGGCTGGCATGGATGCAGTCCTCGACGACGAAGCACAGCAATTCACTGTTTTCGCTCCTTCCAATGACGCCATTGACAGAGATCCTGTCTTTTCCACGTACATGAGTGAGGATGGCTGGTTTCATCATTTAAGGACCAACCTTCAGTTCATGATTGTACCGAATCAAGCTCTTTCAGACGAAATGATCTTTGACGGTTTCACAAGCGACCTGGTGACATTGAATGGAACGCTGGCAATATCACAACCGTTTGCAACCGTCAACTTGGTACAAACGCAGATTCCCAACTTGTCTGGGGCAACAAATGGAGTGGTCCATATCATGAGCGGAGTCATCAAGAATTACTGGAGAGAATACACGCTGAGAGATGATGTTGATCAACTGGATGAGTTGGAGGATGGATTGTCTCCGATTCTAGATCGTCTTGGCTTTGACGATCCGCTCAATGAGTTTGTCGAATCGGGCACGAGCTGGATTGCTGCCCGAAACAGGGGTTACGGCGACGATTCCATTGCTCTGGGTTTTAATGATATTGTGCAAGAGCTCACCAACCCCAACAATGTCGAGTTCCAGTGGGAGGCTTACCTCTACAACCTTGTGGATTTCAACCTTTATGAGCAAGATGTCCAACGTGGTCTCCAACTCTTGGTCATGCCCCGGGCTGGTGTGGCTCACATGTGGATCACAAAGGACAACGACGCAGGAATACTTCGGTTCAATGATGCTATTTTAGACCGACAAACACTGGCCGACAATGGGTGAGTTGCTTCTCTCGATTCGACGATTCGATTCGATTCGCCCCAAGCTCGTCTAAATACGTGCGGGCGATCGAAATGAATTGTCTGAACTGCATCGATTCAATCTGTGTATCTATCTATTCTAACCTGACCTCTTGCAATGACTCGACTCTCTCATCGCCGTTTCGTCGTTCCGTGCAAACAATTACATAATGCAGTGTGACCCAGATTGTCACGAAACCGCTGGTGCCTCCGGGAATGGCAATGCTCCTGCAATACACTGCTGATTTCACGACCATCAATGTGAGAGACATGGCGACGTACTTTTCGGAATCTGGGTGGAATCTGCGGGACATGACCCAGTCAATTGGTGTCAATGGCGGCGGTTTGAACATGTTTGTTCCTCTCCAGGACGGATTCGGGGCGTTCAATATTGAAGTGGCGGTTCGTCTCTCCACCTTGGAATGGCAGAGACATTTGTGGGATTTTCTCAAGCACACCATGGCGGAACCAGCCCGCACAACGGAACGATGGTATGAGGTCGTCCAGGAGGCGGGGGGCACGTTGGCAGTGGAAATGCTCAGCGGGTTCAATACTACATTTGTGATTGACGATGATGGTGACTTGACGATTGATGGAGCAAGGTTGTTGAAACCCGACGATTTGAAGGGAGTCGACGGGTAAGAACTGGTTCTTTCATTGATCAATGACTCACTCTGTGGCGGTTGCGGTTGCCTTTGCCTTTTGATTCTCATTTTTGTTTGCTTTTGCTCTTTCTTTTACAGGTACATTCACTTTGTTGAACAGGTTCCTCTGCCGCCATCGATTCTCCTGACGGTGTATGATCAAATCCAACAAAACCCACAAACGAGCACTGCAACCAGGCTGTTTGATGCTGCCCAATTCGGCGAATTCATCGACAGCTTGCTTCCCATGACACTCTTTGCTCCAGTCAACAGTGCTTGGGATGTCATCATCCCCTTTTTGGAAATTCCAGATGTGCTAAAGAATTTCATGTTTCAACTACTCTGGTTTGACGACTACTTGGCAGATATGGATGGAGAGAACATAACATCTGCAAATGGGAAGAAGTGGAACATCCAAGTCATTGATGACCCCAACGGGCATGCCCTCTCCTATGCTCCAGAGAGAAACCCTGTAAAGATCTATATCAGCAACGCCGAAGGGCCAAAAGGCTTGACAAACTGTTCGGTTGTGCCTGGCCCGAAACAAACCAACATTCTCGCGAGGACAGGAATCATCCATTATATTGATTGCCTTTTCCTGGATTTCAACTACACCAGGGTCGACCCCTTGGCTCCGACGTTTGCCCCCGTGACTGTAAATCCGCCACCTGCGTTTACAACCTCACCTGAAACTTTCACGAGTGTCCCGACCATGGATACGACTATGGCCAGCAGTGTGAGTTCTTCGCTGGGGGCTTCAACAGACCAATCTTTTGAAGCTACCGGTACCATGGATCAATCAGTCCTAGAGGAAGTGGCAGTTTTGGCTCAGGAAGCAGAGGCAAAGAGGCCGAAGTCCCCGGTTTCTCCCGGCACCCTCCGAAAACGTGCTGATGGTGCAAGGTACTAAACAGAGATGAGCTTCAATTCTCAATCTGGAGTTTGAGATACCTCCAATGGAGTCGCCCATGGCAATCACATCAAATCAAAGATGCATTTACTGTATCTCTCATTTCGGGACGGCTTTTGCGTGGCGAACTTACGACTTACGACATGCAACTTGCTATTAGCTAGCTAGCTAGCTATCTAGTACTCATCGATTGCCAGCGAAGTGGCTACTAGCTACTCCAAAGGACTCCGGAAAGCTCTCCGAGTACTGGTACTCCAGAGTAGCTCTCTGGCTGGAGTAGCTACATTTACTCGACAAGTCAGCCTCGTGCCTTGTGACCTCGAACCTAGCTAGCAAGCAACATACAGTTGGATAGCTCTTTGGGAGGAGCTGTGGGAATGCAGTGGGTGCGGGTGCCTGTAGCCACTACCGGTCATGTCAGAGTGTCAGTCGAGTGAGTCAAGTCCGCACGAGTGTCCTCGGCCGCATCGGCGGTTCACTCGGACATGCGTTTTCATCGTTTGGAACGGAGGACAGAGAACAGAGGGAGGACTGACTGGGGAGTATGAGTACAAGAGTACGAGTACTGTACCAGTATACAGTACTCTAGTGTGGATATTCCTGCGACACTTCGGAGTGATTCACAGTCATTCACTAGTTTTTCTAGCTATTAATAGGTAAATTGGCTAGGTTTCTTGGCTATGACTCTTACACGCCCATAATAAACATCCCATGATTGACAGACTCTTTTTACCGAATAGGGAACTGTGATAGTCCGAGAGGTTTACGAGATTTACATGTATTTGTTCATCCATCAAGCATCGCATCGAGCTGTTCGTGCTGCTTGAACGAGAATCGAGTACGATGGTCAGTTTGGTAGTGTGATCACCTTCAGCTCCACCAGGGCCTTGTCGCTGGTTGATCGCATCGCTCGATTGCCAACCAGCACCAGCGAATGCGTAGAAGCAACCTCTCATGCGTATACGATCGACAACCCAAGAGTTGTCTATGCATGCCGGTTCGGATCAGACAATCAAGAGACTCCACCCCCTTTAGAAGGCCCAGCAAGTGCCACTATAGCTATTCAGTCTTTATTGACACCACCCCATTGCTGTTGTCATGGCATCTACTACCGCTGATCGAAAGAAGCAAACGGCTACCAAAGACGACGACATGGAGGCCAAGGCCATGGCTAACGACGGTGACACTACGACAAACAGAGAGCGCATCGAAATAGCAAGCGGCAGAGGAGTGTCTGACGATGGGACTGATGCGAATCACGCTACTAGTGTGAGGTCCTCGTTTGCCAAAAAGTCTCTGGCCGGATCTCACCCGGTCATGGCGGCCATGGCAGAGAATGCTACTGCTGTGAATAATAGACCGGACAAGGTTGCCACAGAAACACCACCCTCGCTTCCAGGAGCATATGCAACCCCTCCGACGCACTATCGTCCACCAAGAGCTCGGGAAGATTCTTTTCTATCATCGTCACTGGTGGCTGGCATTCAAGAATTGCCCAGCACACCCCAGCAGTTTCGTCGGCCGTCGTCGCCCGGAGCCTACCTAGATGTGCCCGGATTGACGCTGCAGCGTACCCCAGAGCTCAATTACGAAGTCATGAGTCAATGCAGTGACAACCAGAGTCTTCCGTCGGCACCGCATCACGAAGTAGACATTTCCTCTTGCGCCGACGTTACTGCGACAGAGCTCGTGGAGGCCAGTGTCGTATCGGACAACGACGACGTCAGTTCCCAAGATTTGCCCGCCGCAAGTCTCTTTGATATCGAAGCGGCCCAACGGCGACAGCAAAAACGAGAAACCAAGAGTCGCTTCTACTACATTATGTCGTTGGTTCTGGGATGCCTCGTGGTGACCACTATCATTGCGGGCTCCATCCTTGGCATGACACAACTACAAAGCAAGGACGCTACTAACGTTTCTACTACGACAGCACCGACTGTACTAGCCTCCACCGTGCCATCGGGCGCTCCCACCAGTAGCTTGGACGAGCTTCTGTTGGATTTGCCTCACCACACACTGACCCAATTGGCGAGCATTGAAACTCCCCAATGGAAAGCCTTCGACTGGCTCTCGCGGCATCGCAACATTACCCAATTGCCGGAATGGAGGAAGAAGCAGCTCTTTGCTTTGGGGACGTTCTACTATGCCTTTGAAGGAGAGCACTGGCACACACTCATCAAAGACAATTGGATGGATGATACCACCAATGAATGCTTGTGGTTTTCCAGTGGCTTTGGCAGTATCTTTAACGGAGACTTTTATCATCATCCTCCCGACTCCATGTGGAAAGTCGATCCCTGCAACGAGCGTGGGGAGTTTGAGTCCCTGTATTTGGATCTCGACATTTACGGTCTCAATCCCTCCATGCCACCCGAAATCTCTCTATTGACATCCTTGAGCAGGCTCTCTCTTTTCATGTGTAACATCCAAGGCTCTCTGTCTTCTGTCTTGCCGTCGGAGCTATTTGAAATGACCAAACTCACATGGTTGTCATTCAACCTCAAGCCCGACTTGACGGACAATCTGCCGTCCGAGCTGGGGTTGCTCACGGGGTTGGAAACGATTCATGTGGTGCAGACGGCATTGACCGGTTCGATTCCCAGCGAGCTGGGGCTGCTCACCGCCATGACATCGCTGCGTATCTTTGAAAATGAACTCTCGGGTAGTATCCCCACAGAGATGTTTGCTGGAATGTCCAATCTAGAAGATCTCCACATGCATTACCTCTTGTTGACGGGAGCAATTCCCAGCGAAGTGGGGTCCATGACGGCAATGAGAGAACTCTTGCTTTACGGCAATGAGTTTTCGTCCAGCATCCCATCCACCCTTGGCTTGATGACCAGTCTGGAAACGTTGGATCTAAGGGGCAACTTCCTCCGAGGCACCATCCCAAGTGTGCTGGGCAGTCTCTCTCATGTCACACACCTTCAACTGGGCTACAATGAGCTCTCTGGGTCCATTCCCAAGGCCCTGGGAGATCTCACAAGTGCCACTTCCTTGCATTTAGAAGGAAATGCCCTCACAGGGACGATTCCTGGCGAGCTCTGGTCGCTGCCTGGCTTGGAGCTGCTGAGGATTTCGGAGAACGCCTTGACTGGCACTCTATCTAGTGAGATTGGTTTGGGATCATCCCTCTCCTCCCTTTGGGTCTCCAACAATCTTTTGGAAGGTTCAATGCCCACACAGCTTGAGATGCTGGAGTCCTTGGAGGAGCTCTATTTGCAAAACAACAGACTGACGGGCAAAATTCTGGATCAGCTGAACATCACAAATTTTGATATGAGGCTCGATGGGAATCATTTCAGGGGTCTGGTGCCAGAGAACCTTTGCTCATTCCTGGAGTGTGACTGTGTCAGCTTTGATGTCTCCACTTGTTCTGGGTTGGAGGAAATGCCTGCTTGGCCAGGGAGATTGCCAGTGGCCAATTACTCGTTCTCCTCGCTCATGTTGAATGTCCATACGGATGCATATCCAGGAGAAACCAAGTGGGTGTGGAAGAAATGGTCCACCGAGACGGCTGGTTGGGAAGCCCAACAGGAGTCTGGTCAGCAGTTGGAAAAACGAATGTTCCTCTACTCCCAAGCACTTCCACTGGACAATGAGGAGTCCCATCAGCTAGTTCTGTTTGACCAAGGAGGTGATGGATTAACCTTTGGTGGTTGGTTTACTTTGGTGGCAGCCAACCAAAGTGTAGTGTTGTCAGTCCCGAGAAGTCAGGCTTTCTCAACAATTACAATCAACATCGAGGTGGATGCCGGTGGTGCCCTGGATATCAATGTGGAAGAAACAAAATGCTCTGATCTCCTCTTGGAACTAGGTGGTGCAACAGCTTGTCCATGTGTTCCTAACCCTTGAGTAGTGGTCAACCTCGGCAGTCTTGCTGCCAGAGCCCTCAACCCATTTAATTCTGTTTCCTGCCTACAGTGGTCCCTGCAGGTATAAGGGTAGGGTTAGAATAGAAATAAGCCAGCAAAACTAGATAAGTTTGGCTGCTGCTTTTAAACCAGCTAAAGCTATATTTACATGTATCCTACTAGGGGTATCTGTTTCTAAAAGGAAACTCTGAAGCCAGCGAAGCTATATAACTAGTATATTAGCTAGCTAGGGGTATCTGCTTCTAGCTTGCAATGGGAATCTGCTTCTAGCTAGCTAGGGATATCTGCTTCTAGCTAGAGATATCTGCTTCTAGCTAGCTACTACTAGGGGTGTCTGCTTCTGGCTAGCTACTAGCTAGGGGTGTCTGCTTCTGGCTAGCTAAGCACTAGCTAAGCACTAGCTAGAGGTATCTGCTTCTATTAATAGCTAGCTAGCTAATAGGGGTATCATCTGCTTCTACACTAAAACCTTTCTGCCGAGGTTCCACAGCTCCGCTGGCTTAATATGTGACAATTATATGTAGTCAACCTACAACTGCCTATTCCTCCACTAAAGAATACCTCGGCAGTCTTGCTTCCTCAACCCCTTTAATTGTTTTTCCTGCTGTGCATGTGGTGGTCCCTGCAGGTATAAGGGTAGGGTTACAATCAAATAAGCCAGCAAAAGCTATTTAATTTTTCTGGCTCCTTTGGCCAGCAAAGCTATAAAAGTATCCTTTACTGACTCTTTCTTAAAGAGGAAGTTCTGCCAGCTCCACTGGCTTAATTAAATGGGGAAGTTTCTAGGGGTTAGAGGGCAGGATGCAAGAACACGAGCAGAGCAACATCAAAACCAAAGAAGGAGAGGGTGGCATGGGATGATCAATGGAGTTAGACTAGTGGAAGAGATCAAGAGCACCTTGATCATTCTCCTCTAAAGTGTGGTATGCATCTTCATATCATGCATCTTCGTATCGTGATCGGGTTTGCATGGGACTACTTGTCCGCGACACTATCTATAGAAGGCCAGTGTGGCCGGTGAGCAGACTTGACTGTGGGAAATACCCGAGCCTTAGCTCGTGGGTAGTCCTCAAGCACATCTCGTCTGAATCCGTTATTAGACGTTCAGTTTTTTTTAAATAGAAGGCCCGTACGAATCCAATCGAGCCTCATTTCATCCCTTTGTTGTTTCTGTGGACGTCATGCTTGCCCCCCAAGCCAAGATTCGTTTTCAACTCCTTGCTTCAGCTACTGCCTCCAAAACTCAATTTTCCTACTCTCAAATGAAGCAGTTTGTTCATCTCCACCGGTGCTGTGAGGGGTCGGGTAACACGAGATGCAAGTAGAGCTCCCCTATCCTCCCAGCACCTAGAAATTGCTAGATTAGAATAAGTTACTACTGCACTACTCTATGGCTCAGCAGTGTGTCATCTCACTAGCAAGCCACTACCCACAGGATTAGCCAATTATACCGGTAGAGTCACATATAAAGTGTCACTACAATATAATTATCAAATACCTTCTACAAACCAACCAAGTAACTGTCCAGCTAAGGTATCGAGTTGATGGGCATTCCTGCTCCTCCCAAACCCTTCATTCATGCACCGTAATTTATAGGTCTGGCGAGGGAGGATAGGATATGCAGCTAAAGGAAAACGTCAAGAATGAAGCAGTTGCTTGGTGCTTAGAATGCTCCAGCCTCGGCCAGCTCCAAGTCTCCAGCAGCCATAACATCATAGACACACTGGTCCTTCAGATCTCCCCAATGCTCACAGGCCTTCTCAGCAGCAGCCTCAGCAATGGATTCACCAAGCCCTCGACGACCAACTTTCTCATTACTCGGCATAGTGCACTGCACCGGCAGCTGGGGGAAGCGTTGGATTTGGAAAAGCTTGGGTTCCGACTCCAGAACTTGCCATTCCATTCCAAAGGCATCAGCCTTGGAAATGACTGTTCCATTACGGGCAAGCCACTTACCGGAACCAAATTCTCCCAAAAGACCCATGCTATCGCTGTATTCCTCCAAGCTGGCACCCACTGTCTTGACACTGACGAGATCCTTGAAGGACTGGACCACAATTTGCTTGCCTTCTCCAAGTTCAATCGTGAAAACATCTTGCTTGGGGCTGATCTTTTCATGAGTGACAGTGTACTTATCCATCTTATCCAGCTTGGCATTGGAGATACCATTCAACATGTATCCACCATAGGCACCAACCTCCAAGATATCAGTTCCAATCTGGACGGCAGCAGACTCAATGAAGGAGTACTGGAAGCGGGCCTTTGTGCGAATGTGGATCTCCAAACCAGTTCCTTGTGAGAACTTTGTGTTGCAGATGAAAACCAAATCACATTCTCCATGGAAATCATACCACTTGTTTGCCCAGGTCTTGAAGTGGGGGTCACCCGTGCCAGCTCCATCACCAGTGCCAGCTCCGTCACCAGTGCCAGCTCCGTCACCAGCGCCCGCTCCGTCACCAGCGCCAGCTCCGTCACCAGGGCCAGCTCCGTCACCAGCGCCAGATCCGTCACCAGTGCCAGATCCGTCACCAGTGCCAGCTCCATCACCAGTGCCAGCTCCATCACCAGGGCCAGATCCGTCACCAGCGCTAGATCCGTCACCAGCGCCAGATCCATCACTTGAAGCATCAGTATTAGGAGAGGCTGTTGGACTGCTTGTGGGACAAGGGGTGAGAATCACAGCCCATTGAGTTAGTTTGAACTGAACATTAGTGTCTCCAAAAGCCTCCAGAGCCCATATGCCTTGCGAAGACAAGCCATTGAAATTGTCGAAGTTTGTCACTGGTGCAACATCAGATCCATCATTCACCAGATTACAGCCAACCGTATTGCTGCTTTCATCATCGAACACCATATGTGCATCACCACTAAAAGGACAACTTGTGCTGAGAAGGTGTTCTTGACGCTTTTGTAGCCTTTGTAGCCCATTTCCCGTGTCATAGAGAGTGATATGCCAATTAAGGCTTTCAATGGTAGCCTCTGCAATTTCTACTTCAAAGTCGACATCACAGATGGCAAAGTTGTCGTTGACCACAATGGAGTCAAGGTCAACATCATCGTAAGTTTTGAC